TAAAATATTTTTCAAATTTTGATCCACCATATTTGATCCACCATATTGAATTTTACAAAACTGACTTCAGATTTGTAATCGGCAACCCAAAAAACTCCTGTATACCAATTTTTAAAGCAAATAAAGTATTTTTAATATTTTTGATCGGCCATATTGAATTTTGAAAATTTGAAATTAATTTTGTAATTAGCGATCCAAAAAATTCCTATATACTAATTTTCAAGGCAAATAAAACATTTTTTAAAATTTTGATTCTCCATATTGGATTTGACATTTTAAATTTTGCTAAACTGACTCCAGATTCGTGATCAGCGACCTTTAGGTACGAAATTTCAGAAAATTAGACTGCAATGAATAATAGGGTTAAATAGTCGTTCAAGGCCTTTAATTCGAGCATGGAATTGGTGCAGCAACCGCTGACGATACGCGTCACAAACTGTGATGGGAGGCAGCGCGGAGAAGCGCAAGCACGGCGAAATGCTGCTATACGCGCAATAGTTTGCAGCCCGTCGAATTGCGGTAAAACCAACATTCTCATAAGCTTGAGAGCTCGAACGGGATACGTTTCGTGTACGTTCTACTCGGAATCGCTGCAACAGCCAAAATATCGATATCTCGAAGCTTTGTTAAAAATACGTTGAGGCTTTCCTGAGAGGAGCGCGAGATAAACAGAAGAGCGTTATAGATTATGTGTATGGTGTTTACTTACACAAAGATGGATTGATGTTTGGCAATAAACGTTTCGACGTGGATGAGGCGGACAACATAATTATTGACGGCATACGATACGCCAGTACATCCGGTCTTTATCGTACTCTTTTAGAGTTTGTTACTAAAGTACGAATTTGATCAATGTAAAAATTTGTTTTAATCGAATCTTATATAAATTTTTATCATTTTTTTTTATTTTTGTAAGAGTACTTCTTGTAACTTTCAATTTTTTTTAAATATCATGATTAGTGCTGCTTGTTTTTTCAAATTTTTTTTGTGCTTACTTCAATTTCTTCTAATGATTCTTGTTGATTATTACTTGTCGATGGTGAATTTTGTACTTCCTGCTTAAAGTAAGTATATGATGCATATAAAAGATTTCACTTTTAGAAAGGAACTACAGTAGAATCTGGATTATTTAATGTTACGTATGATTCTTTTAGCATAGCGCTATCGTCACAAAAACTCGATAATGATAGTCCAGATTCTACTGCATGTGATAAAGTCACACTTATTGTAACTGATCACATTTCTAATGACTGATGAGAGTTCTCTTCTGTGACAGCTAAATCAATACTGTCACTGCAGGATTATTTTCTGATTTCTCAAGTGATTCAGATTTAGATTATACATAGTTAGACTTAGACTCTTCCTAATTTAAGTCACTTGTATCGCCATGAAAAAAAATAAAATCAATTCTTCTAAATTAATTTATTATATTAATTTATTTTTTATACAGTTTTATTTATTTATATATAGTTATTTATGTAGGCCCGTATTTAGAATGCACTTTTATTTCTAAAATTCTATAGTATGTGTAACTTAAATTATAGCATGTTAGCGCTCTAACATCGTTGTAAGTGGATTTTGAATATGGACCATATAGTTTTCCATACCTTTCATTCTTTTCTCTTTTTATCTCTTTTTTTAAGGTAAAATCTAAAAATGGTCGGCATTGTATTAGGTTTTAATTTTTTAAGATTATCAATTCTTTTTTTCTACATTGTTGGATCAAAATGAACCTATACAAAATGAAAAAGAATGTTATTTTATTTAAAAAGTTAAATAATACTAAATCCCACAACAAACCTCGCAAAGATATGAAGCATTAGTTGGGTTCTTTGGTTGTTCTATATTTGCTGCCCATTTTGCTCTTTGTTCAGGATTACGAGGAAAGATTTTTATAATGTAATCTTTTTTTGCAGAATTGTTGCCGTTTGGTGCAGAACAACCAGTCGTTTTAGAAAATATAATTTTATGAAAAATATAATTTTATGAAATAATAATATCAGTTAATAATATCAATTTTTTCTGACAATTATATTTAAACTCACTGGATTCACATGTGTCTTAGGTTAATACTTCACATTAAACATAGTCTTTTCATAACTGTGATGGTGCTGACTGTATTTTATTAATCATTTTATTAACCATAGCTATTTTTGATTTTTGCTGAAAAATGGCCTATCTAACCTTGACTTATTTCGCTCTGATTAGAAGATATCTAGTACAGGCATCCGATCTAGGTAGCGCCTCTACCGCGATCTAGGGCCAGACGGTGCAACCGTACATTTTAAGAGCTAGTCGACGATAACGGCGATGTATCTGAATCTGGAAAGTTACAGATCCAAACTTTGCATCGTATACACATATCTTCGCTTGTAGATACGTAAAGAACGTAAAGAAAAAATAAAAGCACGTAAAATATAATCGATTAAATTGCATTTAAAACTCAATCGGAACAGTCGTTTTTGAGATCCTAATCTCAATCCGACGCAACTCGCCGGCTCGCGTAAAGGAGCTACGATAGTGTCTCGCGCCATGTCTTAATACTGAGACACTACCGTGTCTCCAAATCATAAGAATCACATATAAATTCATAAAAATGTGCTGCCACCTGTGGCAACTAAAAAAATAACTGTAACAACTTAAATATTATTCAAAATTAAAGGGCATACATACATCACTAACGCAGAATCTTGATAGCAACATTATTTTTTATTCTTAATGAATATAGATAATAAATGTTTCGGCCTAGATTAAGCCTTCTTCAGTATACAAACAATCTAAGATAGAAAATCGAATAATTGTTTACACAAAAATGTCGCGCAGTTATACATATATGCAAACGGTTAAATCCAAATCAAATGTTACAAAAAATTTGTTGGTCACAAAACGCTCGTTATTAATAATAAATTTATTTCGGCGAGATAATTTTTTTTGTTACATCCATGTCAAATTCTTGATCTTTGATTGTTGTTTTATAAAAATTAAAGATCTTCGATTCGTATTAGATGCAAAATTTTCAGATTCTATTTTATTTAAAAGTCTAATTATTAAATATCTTTTTAATCTTTTAGTTAAAATTATGTGAAATTGTTCATACCTGCGTCCAAGATCCTATTATCCGAGATGATCAAATTGTCAACTAAGAATAGATATTCTAAAGTTGATTCTGTTAAAATTGCCTGTTAATATTCTTTAAGAATCATTTATACACTCTAGACAAACAAAAAGTATCCAGGAGAGGATAGAAATGATTCTAAGAGGGAAAATTAGTTATTCAGGAAAATTAGTTATTCAGGACTTAAAGATAGAGATTTTTGCACACCTACGTTGATCCCGGTTTATTATAGATACGTAGATGATATCTTATTTGCTCTCACAAAAGATCAGATGAGTTCAACCTTGGAAAAATTTAACTCGTATCATGATACAATAAAACGGTTAAACAGAATGTGGATAGGTGTATACATTTCTTGGATATTAAGTTGAGAATGGATTCATTAAATTTGATATTTATAAAAAACCTTTTAATAAAGATACCTTCAGGAAAGTATCTAAATTATAAATCAAACTATTAGAATACAAGAGAGGAGTCATAATTGGGCAATTAGATAGAATTCTGTTTCTTTCACATCCAGACCATCAAAGAAATATAAAACTCATGATTAAGAATTTACTCAAACATTGTTACCCTCTAGATTTGATTTTTTCGATTTTTAAAAATAAAATTAAAACATTATCAAAGAGGGATAACTTATATAGGTATGGCAAAAATTACAATAATAACTCTAGAAAAGTCATAGCAAACAAATTCTTTACAATTCCATAGCGGGATATGGGATAAATTTAAAAATGTTGCAAAAAAATGGGAATGGGATCCTGGACGCAGGTATGAACAACTCCACATAATTTTTACAAAGATTAAAAAGATATTTAGTAATTAGACTCTTAAATAAAATAGAATCTAAAAATTTTGCGTCTAACATGAATCAAGAATCTTTAATTTTTATAAAACAACAATTGAAGATTAAAAACGTGGATGTAACAAAAGAAATTATTTCGCCGAAATAAATTTATCATTAATAATGAGCATTTTGCGACCAACCAATTTTATGTAACATTCGACTCAGATTTAATCGATTTTATGTATGACTGCACAACTTTTTTGTGTGAACAATTAATTGATTTTCTATTTTAGATTGTTTGTATACTGAAGAAGGCCTCATCTAGGCTGAAACGTTAATTATTATCTATATTTATTAACACTAAAATATAATTTTGCTACTAAGATCCTGTGTTAGTGGTGTACGCTCTTTAATTTTGAATAATATTTAAATAATAACTACTTAATCTCTATATTATTTAACAATTTACCTCGCATAAAAACTAGCCCCGATCTCCCCTATTAAAAAAATTGATAAAAAATTCTGAAAAAGTTCTTAGCGCTCTATGAGAAAAAAATAAACAATTATTGCCTCTTGCTGTTTTTTTATAAAGTATTTTTATAAAGTTTTTTTATAAAGTATTTGAATAAAAGATTATTGGAAACCAATATTTTCGATAATTTTTAGTAATTAATATTTCGTTAACTATTGTGAAAATTGTAAAATGGTACAAGACTTTTTGATTTAATTTAGTTTGCTCTATTTACACAAAGCGCTTAGCTAAAAATTGCGGAACACTCTGTACATATACGTACATATACGTATATTGTACATATATACATACGTTTACTATATGTATTTATATATATTTATATATATTTCAAGTGACCCCACAGTGGGGCAAGTAGTTACAATTTACCTACTGATAAGAAATATTAATTTTCAGTATTTAAAGGCATAGATACAAATCAGAAAAAATTGACTAGTTAAAGATGACTTGAAGCAATGCATAGGTATTCATTAATTTATATGTATACTGCATTAGTACGGAAAAAATTGCTAATAAAAAATTAATAATTTGTCTTCTCTATATGACCGAAAAATTATCTAAGGCTAAACATGACTAGAAATTTTCACGTAAATAGCTAGTAAAAGAGCGGTTAGAAAAGGGCTGATTGGTCTCTCTCAAAGATACGAATATTATAATTAGAGCTCGTAGCTGCAAATACAGGGTATTATACTAAAAGGCCACTACTTCCGAGGACCTCTCTGTCCTGCACACATTTGTCGTACGACAAAAACGCACAAATGAAATAGTAACTATAGAATACTTCAAATAAGAGCTAGTACGAACAGAGCGCGAATGAGGTAAAAAAATAAGTTTGTGTAATAATCTGTTACACAGCCAGGCATTGTAACTTGACAGATTCATGTCTTCATTTCATTAAAATAATGCATAATTCCAATGCAATCCTTCACCACTCACTTATTACTTTTCATTTATATTTTATCTTAAAAAATAATGATTTTTAAATGTTTGTACAATATGGTTATTTAACCGGTTCCTAAAAAAACGTTTTTAAAATAATAACCATAAATGGTTTTAAAACAAAAATAACCATTCCTAAATATTTTATAAACGTTATTCTTTTACTTGGAATATTATGGGCTATGGCTACGTTTTTCTAAAATTTACTATCAAAAATATGTAATATATGTAACATGGAATCATCGTAGATTATAAATTAGCGTTTTATACGATTTATACGTTTTTATGTATTTTATATGTTTTATGTATTTTACCGTATAATATCATAAAACATAAAAAATGCTAGAAAATTCTCGGCTAACTCAATCCTGCTCTCTTATATAGGCTCTCTAGATATGTACATGAAAGGCGCGCGTGCGCGTGGTCTTGGGGGACATACTATGATCTTTGGACCATATTTTATATAAAGCACCGCGTGTGTGCGTGTGTGTTATATTCTTATTTATAATATTATAGGGCAATCAAATGAACATAGTAGATGAAAAATTTAGACATTGAAATCAACTAATACGTAAATAATCATCATGATGGATAAAGCATTTTTTCATTTTGAAATTAGATGACAGATGATCTGTTTATATAATTCCGTGACCTGAAACGGAACTCACTCACAAATAGCCTCCTGTATTGTTGCATCCGATGTGGAAAGTCTTTCAAATTCTTCTTCAGTACCCTGATTTTGATACTCTTAACGACGGTTTAGCATCGTTATGTTGTCGTTGCAGTTTTTTTATCATGTAGTATAATATTTGCGCAACGATAATATTTAAACTGTCATTAAAGGTCATAGATTTATAATACGTATCTTTAAAAATGTGAAAATCGCATAGCGACACAGTTCCGGTGGGAAATATCGAAGCCCAGCCTACAGTCCAGATATACTCGTATACATATATCGTCATGTGATTTCTATATCTTTGGAGACCTGAAGAAAAATCTGAAAGGCAGGAAATTTTTATCAGACGCAACAGTGCGGAAGATTGTTTGTGAGTGAGTACGATTTCAGCCCAAGGAATTTTATAAACAAGGCGACTCTGTCGTCTGGTTAATAATCGCCATATGATAAGTCATATGTCAGTTAATTTCCATGAATTTTTGTCACGTTTTATTTGACTGTTATAATATAATTTTTCAGAATTTTTATGTAATTTTTAGAATTTCTCAAAATTTCTGTATAATTTTGTAACTATTAAAATATTTCTTTGATTTTTGTTGCGAATTAGAACACCTTTCAAAAGTAATTTAAAAATATTTAACAGTAAGATTTCTTATTCTAATTTCTAAAAAAACTTTTAAAATCCGAAAAAGTTTAAAGTATTTTTTAAAAATCTTTATAAATTTAAAATATAATAAATTTTTAAAAATATCAGATATTTTGAAATTTTTTTTTACCAAAATTTTGATTTATAATCGCTCTCAGAGCTTTAAAACGATTTTGTTTATTAATTTACAGGAAACTTCAAAAAGTCCAGACGGACCGCTTAAGATAGGAGTAAAGAGAAAATTCGAGGTTATAAAAAGAACAGGAGGAAACGAAGGAAGAGAAACAAGGATGCTTAGCAAGTCCGAAAGAGCACAACATAAACCCTTCTCCTGCGACCTTTGTACTTTGGCTTTTACGAGAGCATCGCACTTGGCGAGGCATAGAAGAGTGCATACTGGCGAAAGACCATTTGCTTGCAGTATCTGTCCACGAATGTTCGCTAGGCAAGATAAGTTAAAACAACATTTGGATTCGCACTTGCAATGGCCGAAGAGGAAGGGAGGACAAACAATATCTTCGTCACCGACGAAAGGCAAACGCGGCAGGCCACGTAAGGTAGCGGCAGAGAAATTTGATAATTTAAAATTGCAGCCCGTCACATAAGAATGTTTATTTGTATTGTACTTACAGTTAACATTGTTCTAGGAAACAAACTGATATTATTTTGACATTAAAATGACAAACAATCAATGTCAGTTTATTTGCTAGAGCAATTTGCTACATTTTTAAGCGCCTGGAAAAATTACAGAGTCGATCAGGATTCGAATTCGAGATACTTCGTTCTCATGCTTAGTACTTCGGTGCCACTTATCACTGCTTCACTGTTCATAATTATTCTGATCTCCTATCAATATCTAATCTATTTTATGGCTTCGTATTCTTACATATTTGTTTCTCATATTTCTTTAAAATAATATAATGTTTTCTTGCGCTCTTTCATGACGGACTGTATGTAGCTGAGCTTCTTTCTGATAGCCTAATCAGACACCAGCCATCTGTATACGTTTCAGGTTAATTTGGAGCAATCTGCGATGGAAGAAATTTTAAAATTTGGCGAGTTTAGCTCTCTATTGAACAAGTCCCATTCCGCGAATTCAACGAATAATAGTGAAAACTCCGGGAATACTGGAGACGATGGCAAGAGGAAAGAAGCGCATCGAGACGAGGATGACTCGTCCCACAGGGAAAAAGACAACCGCGGCTGCCAAGTCGAAAATGGTCAGGACATTGTTTAATAAAATCTTTAGTTGGAATTTGGATTTAAGTGTCTGTAAACTTATTTTTCTATGTACAATCACAAAATCGCGATCAACGTAACATAGAAGAAAAAACTTATCGAGCTTCTTTGAAAAGTCGTGGTATCTTTTTCCCGAGTCTATTTCAAGTTCAATAGGGCTTATAAAATGTCATCTCGTTCCAATTGAATATATTTATATATGCAAAGTACGTAACGAACTATTTAACGTAAGTACCTGAAGTATCGACTACTAACGTTATTATCAAAGCGCATGAGCCTCTAAAGAAACCAACGGCATGAATGAGAGTCGAAGCAGAAGTCGATTATCGTCGATTAGATGCATCAGTATAAATTGGTATCATTAGTATCGAAAGGTAAGATTAATATAAAAGGATATCTACACGCACACACACACACACACGCGCGCGCGCGCGCGCGCACACACATACACACACACATACAGTACAAATATATAAACCTGACCAAATAATATACACGTGAAGAATACGGCCTGACTTTCACTGTAAATAATTTTAATTTCTCGACGTTAATTGTCGCTCGACATTTTATATTAATTGCGATATACTTAGATATCTGAATTTGAAATTCGAAAGTTTAGGTATGAAGACATTCATGCATCCACTGTAAAAAATAACGCAATTCAAACGATATTATTCGAAAGAAATCTTGCGAAAGGCAGTGTTGGGTAATATCTAGATACACATATATCTAAATACATGTATAGAGGTACATTTTGTATGTAAGAGCTTGTATGTGAGATATATTCGAATTGGAATATCTGTACCTAAATACAAAACATAGTATCTGAACTGTTTTTTAGATTTTATTTATACATTTTTATATACATTTTCACGTACTTTTTCATCTCTAGTAGAAAAAAAATATGTTCTTTTTGAAGATCATTTTTTATTCAAATATTAATATCCTTTTTTCGCGCCATAAGGATTTACGTACATAAGTTGAGTTCAGGGAGCATGCTGTCAGCGCTATTGCGTCTGCATTGGCTACACATGCAGAAAGCAGCTTTGCAATTGTTATAAAATTCTTTAATATGATTATTTTATGCATTTAAATTCATATCCAAGGAATCAAAGAATCAATTATAAGAATTTTACAACAGTAAAGCTGCTTTTTCTGTTAAACGTAGCCTTTGGCATTATATACTATCATAAATTTCTTTCATAATATCATAAATTACTTTCATAAATTTGAAAATGCTCGCGATTTTCTCATATATGGTATTACAAAAACTTATAGCGTACGTTTTCCTCTGATTGCACTAGTGTAACACTCAGACTGTGTAGCGTGTTTCCGTGATGGTGATAGATGAACTCATTCGCAACTGGTGCGGTGCAAAGCTACTACCAGTGCATCCAAATGGAAAACGCTATTAAATTTCTCGATAAAAAAAGATCGTACAGAAATTTTTAAAAATGTATTTAAAAAAAAGCTTTAAATATCGGCATTTGAATTTTATCTTTATGATATTTTGTTCCTAAATTACATCAAATTGAATGGATATATTTTTTTAGATTTTTATCACATTTTAAAGCGCTGTGACCTGGAATGTGTAAACCTGGATGAAACATCATCGGACAAAATTTAATAAATAGAGTAATTCCGGTATAAACGCTGCATCTAACAAAAACGTAATTTATTAAGTATTATTTACTATTTTTAAGATAAATGAATTATATCAGTGAAAACTTTGTACTGTCTACTACTATGAAAAAAAAATCCGAAATACTTATTTTTCGTATTAAAAAAAGAACTTTTTGAAACCCTTGCACTTTTGCCGTAGGGGAAACCGGGGCTAATAAACTCATTTTCCAGTTTCGAATTTTTACAGACGAAATTAAGACTTATCGAAAAGATGAATTTTACACCAGTTACTACATTTGACTACCTAATAATATTTTAATAATAAGGAAATTAATATGCAATATAAGAACTAATATGAAAAAAAAAAACATTTTTTTAATGCATTCCATCTGATTCAACTAGCCCCGAAATCGAGGAATTTGACTAAGATTATTAAAATAAAGATTAATGTATTTTAAGATACATCTTTGGATACATATTAATAAAACTTTTATAAAAATATATTTTTAACATTTGCTTCGCAGGGCAAAATAATGCTTCTTTTTGCAAAATTTGTTCATTTCGTGCAAAAACACGTCGAATGAGCCTAGTTTTCGAGATGGGACATTTGGGAACTTAACTTATATTATAACATTTACCATTGAAGAAAATCTCTTTAAAAGAATAAAATTTTAAGTAAGTACTATAAGAATCGTCACTAAATGAGTCATATAGTTCCATGTGGTTAGTCTACTATCCCATCCGTTCATTTTTTAAAACCATTAACAATATATGATAACAAAGACAAACAAAAAAGATAAACAAAAAAAATCTGTTGGACTTTATTAAGTAAGAACTACACTTACTATTTAACTATAAATCAAATAATCTCAGACAATCATATACGATTGTAAAACAAAAATCTTAAGAATAAAAATATTTAGGTGTACGATTTTTTAAAAATTGTGGCATAACTTCTATCATAGACCTAGTTTCCATCGAGGGTTTAAACCGGATCAGAATGTAAGAACCAACCAACTACAGTCGAGTATTCCCCTATTACAGTCGAACGACAGGGAAATTCTCGACTGTAATTGGTTGGTTCTTACAGTCTGATCCGGTTTAAACTCTCGGTGAAAACTAGGCTATAGATGTGTTCGCAACAAGATGTTTCAGCAGACTTAGCGGCAGACTCGCTGCTGCAAATACGTTTAAGCGTGTCTTGCGTGTTTTGTTTTTAATGTGTAGCCTCGATTATTCTACTTACCCCAATAGTCAACTGATCCCTTATATCCCATAGAGGTGGGATATACTCATAGGGGGAGGCGGATATGTTACGGCTTATGAAAAATTTACAAATAATGCTTGTAAATAGGACGTAAATGACACAATAACTTGTAAAATATGTTTACAAAGTTTTATTAAGAAATAAGAATAAAATATATATATGATGTAATAGATAATAATCTTCCGACATATATTAAAAGTGTTATGAGATACATATTTCCTGTAATGTGTTTATTGCATTTAGTGCACTGAATCCAATCTGAGCACTTTATATGATTTGGGCATAAATCCCGCCCGCTAAAAATGTTGTATATCCCAAACAGGTATGATATACAAAACAATAAACTAAACAAAGAATACAAGAGCGAAGCACTTGTATTCTTATTATACAACATGCTTTATTTCTCTGCATTATTCTTATATTACACTTATATTGTTACAAAATAACTATTAAGTCTTTTATGCGTCCTACAGTAATCATTTTATGTAGATTATAATTCATGATGACGCTACTTATTACAGTGACAAATCGATTCAACTCAATAATTTCATTAATATTGACATTTACAGTAAGAAACTAAAATCATAACACAATACTAATATTAAAGATTATGATTTCGCGGGTTTCCTTCGTGTTCAGATCCATTCTTGGAATGCCAACGTTTTGTGAACCTTGCACTTCATCAGGGCGAGGAGCAACCTGATACTGAGCTGTTCCTTCGGCCGTTCCTTTATATTACGTTACTTGTTGGAGTAGTGGGGAAAGAAGAGAATTGTGGGGGAAATTCGTCGGTCTTCAATAATCGGGAGAATGGTTTTCCATATTTTATTTATATTGTAACCATTATCTCTTTTTAGATTGTTAGGACGTTTTTGTATCTCTATGGCTTCTTTATACTTTCTTGAAAAGTATGATGTAATGTTGACTATTGTGGTCGTTTTGTCAAACAGTATTTGATGTCCTGTTTCGATGTTGTGTTCTGATACTGCTGACTGCGTAATGTTTTAGCCTGACATCACGTTGGTGTTCTTTTATCTATAGGTTGACCATTCTCCCGGTTTCTTCAATATACTTGCCCGCAGGAACAAGGTATTTTGTATACTCTTGCGGAGATGAGTGGAGGTCTTTGCTCTTTAGGATTTCTTAAGATTTGTTCTATCTTTTTGGGTGGTTTAAAGAAGTTCGAATATTGTGTTTGTTTAATATCCTGCCAATCCGATCTGTTGTTCTTTCGCTATATGGGAGAATAGATAGGATCCTTTCGTCTGGTTGTGCGTCAGAGGTCGTTGTTTGTCTTGTTTGCATGTTTATTGATTGTTTTAATTATGTCTTTTTTGTTGTGTCCGTTTTTCTGTAAGGCTAGTTTTAAGTGGTTTAGTTCTGTCTGTAGATGTTCTTTTTCAGGGATGGTACAAACTCTATGTACAAGTGAATTTATTGCAGACTGTTTTTGTGCTGGATGATGGTACGATTCGGCATGTAGGTATCTATCTGTGTGTGTTGGTTTTCTGTACACTTGATGGCCTAAGGTACCGTCAGTTTTCTTAGAGACAAGAACATCTAGGAAGGGGAGTTTTCCGTTTTCCTCTATGTCTATAGTGAAATGGGTATTTGGATATTGATTGTTGAGAAAAATAAGAAATTTACAGAGTTCGGCTCTGCCGTGTTTCCATATCACGAATGTGTCGTCTACATAACAGAACCAAACTTTTGATTTTTTTTGGGTGCTTTCCTGAGGGCCTCTTTCTCAAAATGAAGATGTTGGTGATTACAGGAGAAATAGGAGAGCCCATTACTCCTGTAGTTTGTTCATAAAATTGTTTGTTAAATATAAGGGAAGTAAGTGATTGTTAAGCAGTGGTCTATTAGTTGAATGAAGGAGGGGATTTCATGTGAGGCTTTTATTATGTTTAATGTTTTATTGGGATTTGTGTGAAAAGGGATTTTACGTCGAAACTTACAAACAGGTCTGTGGGACGTAATCGGATTTTTTAAATCTTTTGTATGAAGTCCGTTGAGTTGGTCATGTGTGATTCGGAAGTGAGGAGTTGTAGGGTTGACCAATTTCCCCCACCTCTCTGCCTTTCTACTCACAATTCTCTTCTTTCCCCCCACTACTCCAACAAATAGCATAATATAAAAAGAACGGTCAGTATCAGGCTTCTCCTGGCCCTGATGAAGTGGAAGGTTTACGAAACGTCGGCATTTCAAGAATGGATCTGGACACGGAGGAAATCCGCGAAACGCATAGTCTTCATATAGAAAGCACCCGTGGAAGTCTCAAGAATACAATACTAATATTATATAACATAAAGGCATGTAATAGGGTAGTTGCGAAATTATCTCCACTCTTTCTATTTTTGTGATTTCTGCTGCGTAAATTACAGCACGGCGCGTATTTACTGGAGTTATTCTAAATAGACTTCCTAAATTTTAAAATTAAAAAAAAAATTAATACGATGATTTTTTGCAATAATATTGAATTTTCAGCATGTAACATTTTATTGTATAACAACTTACTTTTTAAAAATATTTTTTAACTTCGGAACTAAATATTATAGTTTACGGAAAGAACACAAAAAAAATATTTGACACAATGTGCTTGATTTGTACAAATTTGTTCAAAATTAAAAATAAATTTCAAACATTAACAATAATCATTGATAATAATAAATATTTTTCCAAGTTTTTAAGTAATTTTGGAAAAATAATGCGAATTAAATACATTATATCAAACATTTGATCTCTTTTATCTTTTTTTCGTAAATCTTTTCGTTTTGAAGTGTTTAGTTTAGAAAACATTTTAGAAAAAATAAGCTTTTACACGATAAAATTTTATACATTAAAAATGCGATAACCTTGCAAAAAA